TCTAGAAATAGTCACATTACATTTTTTTTTAATTTAGTATTAACATTATGTTTACATATTGAAAAATGTTTCTGTTTATTTGCAAAAAGAAAATAACTCGGAAAATAAATTAAATATTAGTGTAAAAAAATTGGTCTTTTTTAAACAGGAAATACCTACCTAACAAATCATATTTTAATAAAATCTGCAGCTTCCTTTCTAAACCCTATTTAACCATATTTAATACATTTTTTGGAATTTATCCCTCTTCTTACAAAACATGTATAATTACCCCAACTACTTCTTATTTAAAATTGTTGATAAAAAAGTTTAAGTAATTGCAGTTCCATTTCTTTTAATGAGTAATGTTTTTGTAAAATGTATTAAATCTAGTTTTCTTTGTTCTCTTAATGATAACAATTTTTTTTCCTGAAAATCAGTATGATTTTTTTCCAGGTAAATCAACAATTGATACTTTAGTTATTGTGGGTATTATGTCAGACATAATATTGGCAATAATGAAAAAGTTATTTGTATATTTTTAGATGTTAAAAAGAGTTTTATTTTGTCAATCATGAATTACTTATAAGAAAAATAGAATATTGTGGTATTAGAATTAATGAATTTGTTTTTGTCCAATAGGTATCAATTAGTTAGTCTTTTATAGTATTTGGTTACCTGTGCGTTTTGGAGCCCTACAAGGGAAAGTTTTTTTACCTTGACTTCACATTTTTATTCTAACTATCTACTAAAATTAAATTTTTGTGCTCATGTTTTGCTGAAGATATATTTATTTTGGTCAGTAATAAAACGATCACTGATTTATATATACATAATTCTACTAAGTATAAAATAAATGTAAAGATGTAAAACTGTGAATGGATGTAATTAATAGTTTTTCATTTTTTGGCTGATTTAAATCATTAAGAGAAGTCCTTAATATTAGCTATTTAAGATTAGTATGTTTAGCCTTAGTACAATCTATATCAGTGTTTCTTAACCTTTTTGATATCACGGAACACCAAAAATATTGTTTTCATGCGGAACCCCTTGAAAATTATCTTTAAAACAGAATAAATATTAGATGATATAGATAAAGTTCTTTCGAGAAACCCCTAAGTGAGATCCGTGGAACCCTAGGGTTCCGCGGAACACAGATTAAGAAACACTGATCTATATTATGTTATGGTTCGGTAGTGTGGGATAACTCTGCACACATACATACATAAACGTAATGTCACTATAAATTCATCATTGAGATTTCTATTGAGAAAACCATGTTGTTAACATAAAGGGAATTTACTAGTGTTGGCCAACGATATCGATATCGTGGGCATTTTCCGAATAATTTTGATATCGTTATCTAAAAATAATTATCGAAAATATCGCGATATCAGCTCGAAACAATAAAGTTGACGAATGTTAACTTTTATTACTTTTATCTATAATAAATTATAGCATATTGCGATATATTTCAAAGAAATAGTTCAACACACTAAACAATTAAATCTAAATTCAGTGCCAGTTGTTAACTCACGGTGAGTCCTTGTAATAATTTTATTTCGTTATTAATTAATAATTTTATAATTATACTTGCTGACCCGGCAATGCTTTGTATTTTTTCAGTACCTACATTTTTATATGTTTAGGAATATGTGAAAAGTTTGATATGATTTATATCAGCTATTTAATTTGATTAATTTTTCTAGTATAATTTTATATATTAGTGTGGAATATATTTGTTTCGTTATTATGTATGATTTTTATTTTTTTTGTCAATTATATCAATTTGTCTTAAGCATTAAATATTTCTGGATACATCACTTTAAGTGTCTCTCTTCTAGGGCCAGCACAAATAGATTTTGTTTGCATGTGACACGTGACAGAGTTATGTACAATAAACTAAATTATATAAAATGTAACTTGTTGTAATTATGTAAAAATTTAAATAAATCGATATCGATTATTAAAAATATATAGCTGGCCAACACTAGAATTTACCTATATAATAGTTTTAACATTAAAATGTTCTATCGTACTGTTTTGGTGGAAAAATTGATGCTTATAACCTTAACATCATTATCGCACCAGACTAAATGAAATGGAATAAACCTTAATAAACATGTTAATAAAAAAAATTGTTGTGTAAAAAGTATTTTTAGTAAACATACTTATATCTTAAGACTATTAAATATTGACGTATTAACCATCAACTTTTTTTTAATGTACATTTAAATTGTTAAATATAACAAATTCATTTTTGTACTAATATCTACATAAATTATACTAATTAAAAAAAAATTTTTTTTAGATCTATATGTAAAAATGAAGATGAAGTAAATGAAACCGAAATAAAAATAGAAAGAGATTTGGTCGATGGGTATGAATTTACAGGATCATTTTCTAATGAACATCACTATTCGGAACTCATAATTCGGATGAATTCAGACAAGAGATCTAACTTCAGGGAAAAACCTAAGACGCATTCAAGGACACACACCAGGAACACCATAATTTATAAATGCGATATCTGTGTTAAAACGTTTAAGGGTGCAGAACATTTAAAAAGACACACAAGGACTATACATACAGGAGAAAAACAATATATGTGTGCTATCTGTGATAAAGCGTTTGTTAAAGCAGGAAATTTAAATAAGCATACGAAGATACATATGGGAGAAAAGCCATTTAAGTGTGATGTTTGTGATAAAGCTTTTAGTCAATCAAGCGATTTAAAAAGGCATACAAGTACACATAATACAGTAAAGCCTAAAAAGATAAAAACCTATAGATGTGAAATCTGTGATAAAACGTTTAATAATACAAGTAATTTAAAAAATCATGCGATTATACATACGGGAGAAAAGCCATTTAAGTGTGATGTTTGTGATAAAGCTTTTAATCAATCAAGCAATTTAAGAAGGCATACAAAGACACATGCAAATGAAAAGCCTAGAGAGGAAAAATCCTATGTATGTGATATCTGTGATAAAGGGGTTTCCACTGCAAGTAGTTTAAGAAGGCATACGAGGACTGTACATAGAGAAGAAAAAGACTATAAATGTGATATCTGTGATAAAGGGTTTTCCGCTGCAAGTAATTTAAGAAGGCATACGAGAACTGTACATAGAGAAGAAAAAGACTATAAATGTGATATATATAAACAAGACTTTTCACATAAAGGAAACTTAAATACCCATGTAAAAAGACATCATATTATAAAAGAAAAGCGATTAAGAGATGATACTTGTGATAAAGCGAAAACCTATAGATGTGATATCTGTGATAAAGTGTTTGTTAATGCAGGAAATTTAAGTAGGCATATGAAGATACATATGGGAGAAAAGTCATTTAAGTGTAATAATGCTTTTAGTCAATCAGGCAATTTAAAAAAGCATACAAGTACACATGCCATGGAAAAACCATGTAGATATCTGTGATAAAGAATTTTCTGCAGCCAATAATTTAAGAAGGCATAAGAGGACACATACCAGAGAACAGCTCTATAAGTGTGATACATGTAAACAAGAGTTTCCTCATAATTCAAATTAAGAAATCCATCTGAAAACACATAGGTGAGAACATGGATAAAATATTGTTTGATACCCTCATTAAGTGTTTTATTGTGCGGAACATTTTGCAAGGAAACATATCAGTTCTTTATTTTTAATATGCAATTTATTATCCAAAATGTTATTTATTAGGCAATTGCTTTAGAACATAGTAGTATATATTGTGATACTCGGTTGAGTCCTGTGATACAAACCACAAAGTAGTATCATAATTGTTTTTTAAAAAGGCAGCTCCTATAGCGTGTCTGTGTAAATAATGATTTTGAATTCACTCTTATAGTTGTTAAACCCATTATTATGTTATTATTCATTTGAAAAAGGCTATTATTATTATTATTATTATTATTATTATTATTATTATTATTATTATTATTATTATTATTATTTATTATTATTACTTTACTAATTACCTACTTACTATTATTTATACGAAGATCGTACATACAGGTTAAAAACCATATAGATGTGATATCTGTGATAAAGCATTTTCTCAAGCATTTGAAGGACACTTTTCAATCATACAAAGACACAGCGGGGTAAAGTCCTATAAATGTGATATATGCAAAAAAGTGTTTTCAAAAATCAAATTTAATATTCCATATGAGAACCCACATAGAAAAAAACACTTAAAGACATTCTTATCAAGTGTTTTCTTGTGCAGAACATTTTGTAAGGAAACAAATTAGTGATTGCTTTTTATGTGTACTTTGTTTTCTAAAATGTCATCTATTAGTTTATTTGGAACAGAGTAAGATTTTTTTTAAATTTGTTTACAAATCAAGCTGGTTTCTCGTACCATATATTGTGATACTTGGTTAAGTTCTCTGATACAGATCTCAGAGTAGTTTTATAATTGTTGATTTTTCTCCTCTGGTGTGTTCGTGTAGATAATGATTTTGAATTCACTAATACAACTGGTAAACCCATGATTATGCTGATATTCAACAAAAATAAGCTATTAACATATTACTTTACTTATGTATACATACAAAAACATTATAAACTTATAATTTGTTATGTTATTATTAGAAAACATTTACTATAAAATTATCACTAGTTTTTAACAGTGAATTTATGCATACCTATTGTGTTGTAACTAAGTAAAATTTTATCTTTACTTATTGTTAGTTTGAGTTTAATTAATCCTATTCTTCCCTAGTTGTTTTAAAATGATGTTTAATTTTTTTCTTTTCAAGTTTTTATGTCATTAGTCATTCTAGTATCAACTATATATCTTATGGTTAAGAGAAAATCTAATTTTAACTATTTTATCATAACAAATTAGGACAACATATTTTAATATATTATGATAACAATGTTGAAAATAAATATTATTTATAAAGGTTACATGAATAAATAAAAACATAAATACTATAAATAAAAAAATGCAAAACAATATTTTTTGTATTAGTTATAACTATGATATTTTATAGCAGGGATAAATTATTAATATTTTATTGATGAAAATTCTTCAATTATACTATTGTAATCAATTTTCGAGGTCAAATCCTCTTCTACCGTCATCATTGCAAGACTGTTAAGTCTACTTTCTTTAGAACATGGTCTGAGATACGATTTTCTCTCTTCAAGACTGAGAATGGTCTTTCTGTTGAACAGTTGCTAATTGGGGTACGTAGTAACATTCCCAATCAATATCCATGTAAAGATAAATATCTACCATATTTTTTTGTCTTATAAATAATACTTTATTACTAAAAATAATTATTATATTTATTATTTATTTAAAAAAAATAAATTAAAAATGTTTGCATGGATATTTTTCCAACCGTGGGTGGGGTATTTTACTGTGTAAATTGCAGAGTGACACAGTTGTGTTGTGAACAAGTGCATAATATGTATTTTACTATAAATACTTACCCAGGAATACAGATATTTGTTCGGAAATATTTCAGTCATATTTGAGTTGTTTATCTTTTCAAAGTTGTTTTCAAACTAATTGCATTCTTCTACACATTTTGGATTATTTTCTTGTATTGTATTGTATAAAATACAAATAATGATTTTTTACTGTAAAAATGATTGCATTATTAAAATGTAAGCTAGCATAAGCTGCGTATGCTTACTAGTCATATTAGGCATTAAATCAATTACTTTTATTTGTGTACAAGTTAGGCTCAAAGCTAAACATATCTGCAATACTTAAACATTTCTTTACCATAGAATTTTAATTTTGTTTTTTTTAATGCAGCAGCTTTGCGATAGTTGCAACCACACTTTTTTCCGAACATTCATCATGCAATAACTTAATTGTCTTCACCAACACCAAAAACTAAAAATTAACATAACGTGGAAAGTTTTTAAACAAGTTATTGCATTGTATTAAGCTTAATATTCATCATAGTTTCAACCCATTCCCGTTCAAGCAATGTAAATACGGCTTGTAAACATATGGCTGTGAAGCAGGCCTAGCAAAACACTCGTCTTTCGTGTTTTTTACATGAATAATAAACAATAGTAATTGAGCATTTTTATTACTTATATATTACAAAATTAATAAAATACATACCTTTTTATTATGTAGCTGTAAAAATAAAATAGGTTCTTTAAAAATTAAAAATAAAACGTATAGGGCATAGGTATTATAAAAGAAAATGAAAGAAAAAATTCATAATTATAAATTTATATCACTTGTAAATGCTAAATGATAACACAAAATTGGAGTGGAAAATTTTTACTCTTTTTAAAACAATTATGGTATATTTCCAACTAAGGTTATATTTGCTTGCTAGTTATCCTTATCATTAATAAGATTATAAAGGAATAGGTGATGCAATGCAATGCGGGCTGGATCGGCGGTCAGAATTCGTTATGCCGTAGTTCCTTAACTGTCGAGTGCTGCTTGTCAGACGTGCCAGATTTTCATTATTTTATATTATTATATGTATGGTCTGTCGCAGCATGGAAACAAATTTACTAGAATTACCCTCATTTTTTCTTTGAAAGTTAAGTAAATTGACGTTTTGAAAATTATGGTGCCAAAAAAATTCTCCGAAATCAATAGTTTCAAAGTTATATTTACTTAAGTTCGCAATTTTTTTTTTGTATTTATATATATCAATATAAGAGATATTTACACATAAATATATGCCGTGACGAGTTGTGACCGGGCAGTCGTGTACAAATCGTATTACCGATGACTAATCTATTCTTTAATCTTTATAATCGTGATCACTAAATACTAATTTAGTAATCTGTTCATGGCACTAGCGACTATACTAGCTGCCACTTACCGGGAATTTCCCTTTTTTCTTTATATCGTGCAACACTGTTCGTTCAAATTTTTAATATATTATTATATTCAAACAATCAAACCGTTTTTTTTTTAAGAAATTGCATTTTTACCATTTATCTAAGTACAGAATGTAATAAAAACAAAAACTATACATAAATGCATAGGTACACAGAAGATTACAAAACAAATTACGTACGCTGGTTTTAAATAATCTAAGCAGTACTAATTTTTTTTTTATATTGTACTTGTGTAATTAGTACACGCAATCGCCAAGAAAAATTGAAGATTTATCCTAAATAAATATACTGGTAGAAGTATGTGACATTGTTACATAACCTGTACCTATAGTCAGTAGGAATACCTCAAATTCACTTTTACTACTCTCTAGTGCTGTAAAATTTACATTATTACACAGTATAAATTCAATTTATTTTTTTATTTTTAAAGACAATATTTCGGTGAATAATGTATACAGTATCAAAACAAATAACAGCAAATAACAGCAAATACAAAAAAAACTTTTGGACTCGGGTCTCGGGAGCGCAAAAAAATCGAGACGTACCCGTGATTGAGTACGAAAATCGACAGACGTGTTGGCCACATAGATAATATAATCTTATGTCATCTATGATTGGCCATGTGTTGTTGTTGTTATGAGTGGAATTGCCGACTAACAGTGTAGCCACAAACCGCAGAAAACTTTTAAAAAAGGGAATTTCTCGATTTCTCGGTATGTGGCAGCACGTTTAAAATTCAGAAATGTCTGACAGTTTTTCGATGAACCTTAAGATTCTCTTCTGTTTGTTCTGTGATACTAGCCTCAGATATAGATATTAAGGGGGATTGCTAACTAGTGATAACAGCCGACGCCAAATAAAAAGGGTTGCATGTGGGGATTATAAGGTGTTATCGTCTGACAGACCTAATTTAAAATTAGGACCTGATAAAATACCGTAGGCCACAACCTATATTTTGAAAACTGGCCTCACCCGCCCTGCTTATCAATGCATAGTAGATAGCAATCTAGCTTATTATCAGATAATATATCATAGATTCTATATCTGTGATACTAGCTCCTTATATTATACCATGAACTAAGATATCTTAGTTCATGTATTATACTAGTCTATGGGCCATCGATTACAGAAAATAGTCTGTAGATGGATAATGTATTGGTCATAATAGGTTATGATGAACTAGACACAGTGAAGCAAGAAGTGGAGACCGACAATTTAATAAGCAAAACATTTGAGGCGTCCTAACGATGAAATGAGGCCCTTTTAATTAAGTACTTATAAACATTATTAAGTTCAAACAAATATAATGTTTATTTTTAAAGTGAAGATGTGCATGTATTAACGTTCCTTATTAAACATTAATAAACGATGGCAGCAGAGGAGTAGTAGTGTTCACACAGATCCTCCTCTGCTGTCGGTTCAAACGGGGGGGAAAAAAAAAAGCTCAAACAAATATACCTAGCTACTGACAAATCAATTTAAAAAACGATCATTTTAATCATTTAAAGTGGGCAAGTGTTGTACAATATGTATCTAGTAGAATCGCTGTAACGGATGTCTTCGATTTTAAATAAATGATATAAATTCATTGTATACGACAAAAATGAATTATTTCGAGGTAAGCCCATAATATTACATGGTATGTTTATTTTATGATATTAAAGTTATTTATTTTACTATTAGACATTAGTAATAAAGTAGGTAGATTGGTTAAAATTATTGCATTTAAAAATGTCATTATGTGTACTGCGGTTAAAAAATTAAAAATGTTCAAGTAGCTATGTGCCTATGTCACAACTTTGTAATCGAAGATAATTGTTGAACTCTTCAGATTTTTTGGCAATTTTTGTTATATTAAACCCGGCCCATTAACATGATAAACGATTTATAAAATGAGTACAATTAACTACTATAGCAAAAATTGTCTGGTGTCTACAGTTTTTCGCATTATCATTTTATAACTTTTGTTATTGGGAAAGTGAAAACCTAGGTCACGTACTGAAATACAAGGTATTTAAGATTTTAATATTGTTTATGGTGCATTCGACAATAATTGGAGAGACTATACGAAGGTGAGACATTTTTAAGCATTTTTAAATATTGAATCACAAACCCAAGGATTCACTCCAAAGTACTAATCGGTTGAAGTACGTTTGCAGTAGAAGACTAGCATCATTCTCGTTGTGAATACGCATAAAATGTTTCGTGTTATCGGCAAATATAAAAAGCCGAGCATGGTATAAGCGGTCACACTATTAATGAGAAGAGGAAACAATAAAGAATGGCATCCTGAGGTACACAATAAGCACCAGAGTTGCCAAGATAGTATCTAAGTATCTCGTAAGTTAAAAAGAAAATTACCATGTAAACCACTGGGTTCAGGGGAGAATATAACTGTTGGTACATGTCATCAACTGAAATCTATGCATTACTAGAAAGATCGAAGATGAAGTGAGATTTGGAGATGGGGTTACATGTAATGTATAGACTGGCCCGACATTTTTAGCAAATAAGTTAGCCGATACTTGGTTATCATTACTAAGCTCATCAGTTTTTGGGATTTTTGGAGAAAGATGTTTCTATTTTTGGAATGTCATTGTGATAGGTTTGCTTCTATGAATATTTATAACGAGCTCTGCACTCAAAAAAGTCCCGATAATCCTAAAAGTTAGATGATTCTTTATATTTTTTATGAACATGGTGATCCAAAAGAAATAATTCCTTAACGAAAATTTAATTTATCATAATTTTATAACTATTAATTGTTATTAGGTATTATTAATATAATTTATTAACAGTTAGAATTTTAAGACGATAATGATAATAATGATACTTATATAGTAGCTACATTATTGAAACTCGCGTATTTAATGAATTATATTTTAAAGTTTTACATAAGATCAATATAAATAATTTGGTATAGTTTTTTACAATACTTTTAGTCATTCAAAAAAACTGTATTTTTCTCAACAAAACACATTGGCATTGATGAATTCATATCGCAAGCCAGGAATTAAAAATGAATAATACATTAATATCATCAATCATGAGATCAAATTACTAATACCTACTCGTAAAACAACAATAGGTAGGTGTGTTTTATTATAATGTTCAATATTGTTTTTATATAAATAACAATTAATTAATTAAATTTATAAAAAATGTAGCTTATGAATTCCTAAAATATTTTATTAAGTATTAATAGTTTCTCTGTAATTTAGTGTAGGTAGACTAATATTGTTCAGAAGAAATAATGTTAATTTAAAGTAAAATAGCAATACATTTTAATTTAATATAATTATACTAACCAGTGAAGATTAGATATTATTTAATAATTTAAATTTTTTAAATTTTACTGTTCCAATTTTTAAATTGTATTTCAAATATCATTATAATTTTATTCTTTGAATACTTTTTTATTTAAGTGATCTCAACCTCAATTTCCTTGATTTTTGTTTAGTAAAAACATAATCTATCCTTTTTAGAGCACACTATTAGTCAATGGGCATGAAATGTATGCTTAATACTTAAGAGGACGCGATACAGGCAATTGTTGTCATTTGTCACCTTACAAATGTATAACATGGCAAATTTTACAATAATACAGTTTACTCCATAATTTCTAAAATTAGTGTGAACTTCCCTCTTACAAAATTTAAAGGCAAGAATATTATCTAGGGCTTTTAAAGTAGGTTAGTCATGACCATTTTAAAACTGTATATTATTTGCACAATTCACTCTGATTTCAGAAATTACAGAGTGAAATGTATTATTGTGAACATAAAATTCGACATTTTGTAAGTTTGTAAGACAACACATAACCGTGTGGAGTCCTCTTAATACATTATTAATTTTAGAACAATATAACACTATTTGCAAGTAAAAACACTAAAAACAAGTACCTAACCTATGATAAAGGTACCTTGTCATCTACAAAATTATTTAAAAAAAGAAATTATTTAGGTTATACTTACTCAATAGTTTAAATAATTTACTATAATACACTTTAACATTCTCAGTAATAAATCATGAATATTATTCCTTCAAGATATTTTTTGCATGAGGAACATTTTCATTCGAACATTGGTTTTATGGTTGAAAACTTAAAATTTTTTGAAATTAATTTTTATTGCAATACATACGTTTCAAGATGAATGTATTTATTCAAATAGGATCAATAAGTTGTATTTTACTACAGTTTATTTCGATTGATTATAGTTGATACAACAGTCATTATATAAATATTGTTTTGCGTCTCGTTGCAAATTTTGAATTTGTTTGTTTAAAACTACAATACAGTTGATTGT